TTTAAATGACTTAAAAAAAAGTTTTCATCTTATCTGTTTAATCTCCCAAATTCAAAACATTATGGAAACTTTGGGGCATACAAAAAAACCCACAATCATAAATTGTTTTCTATATTAGGGGTTAATCTACCTTATTTGGAAAATGTGAACCAAGACTATAGTAAGTTACTACTTTTCACTTGTTTAATGTCAAAAAATTTACCCTGATAGTTCTTTTTTCTGATAAAGTTTGATAGGACTTCTCTATAGTGATTGTAAAAATGTAAACCAACATTTCATTTGGAATACCACTTGTTTTTGTTTTGTGGGTATGAATTTCCATATCCTTTTGGATTCTGCAATTACTATTTCATGAACACTGGCAGGAATAGATCTTACATTAGAATGGTCAATATAAGTATCATTCATAATAGCAACAGAATAAGAAGTAATTCAAATCATTATTGATAGGAAAAAACAAACAGTTAAATAAATGAAATGCTGCTGAAATTGAATGGAAAAATAGGAGCAAAATAAATGTCAAAAAGCAATAAGAACATAATACCTACTGTATAATGCGTTATAAAAACAAACCAAACAATATTCTTATTTACTTATACAAGTACACATTGACATATTTATCAAATGAATAAAAATGACAAACACTGAATTTAATATAGTATCCATTCAACATGACAAAAAGAAAGCAGCATATAAATAAATGTAAGTAAGCCAGTGCTAATCTAGTTCATATGTTATAGATAAACAAATAAGCAAGCCAGATATGCTCAGCAAAATGAATTGTAATTCATTCAAATTCCACAAACTCATATTCCATTAAAAATGTAAACTTTTAAAATTAACTTAGTTACAAGAGGAGGATTTCATTGTTGATTTTAAGAAATGTGAACAGTTTTCTTAAGGACATATTCTTTTTCACAACACATGGAATACAATTCGATCTGTTGCAGCATTTAAATTAGTTTTTCTATTTCCCTTTGGGTCTTCTTTCTTAGGTTATAGTCTTTGGTACTTAATCAAAAATTAAGCTCTGTATAAGACTCTAACTCAACTCAGCCAGAATGGCATTTGTCAAGAAAGTATGTAACAATAAATGCTGAAAAGAAGAACCTTCAAACACTGTTGGAGCAAATGTAAATTAGTACATCTGCTATGGAAACCAATATGGAGCTGCCCCAGATAACTAAAAATAAGTCTACATTATGACCCTATCACTTTTGGGGATACATCTGAAGGAGAGAAAATCAATTTATGAGAGATGATTGCATCTCCACTTTCATTTTAACTCTTCACAATACCCAAACTGTGCAACTAGCCAAGGTACCCAACAGTCAATGAATGGGTAAAGCAAACAAACACACACACACACATACACACACACACACACACACACACACACACACACCCGTGAAGTATATCACACAGACATAATGAGAGATGAAATTATGTCAGTTGCAAGAAAGTGTTTGAAACTGGAGATCATCTTGTTGAGTGTTATGTCAAGATCAAAAAGCCAAAACCTAGACCTAAATAATGAAGAAGATGATGATAATGATGATGCTGATTGAGATAATACTTGGCAGTATAAGAAAATCCAACAAACACTGAAAAGGGAATGGAGGAAAGGAAGGGTTTGGGATATAATAGTTGTGATGAACTTGATCCAAGAATACTGTATACCTCTATGAAATTTTCATAATAAAACTGACTGATAGAGTAGCTAATGTATACTAATTAAAAATAAACAACAAAGAAATTTTGATTTTTTTGTTGAAGTAATGGCCCAGATGAAGATACATTGTACACATGAACTGCTTTGTTAAGTGAAAAAACAATTCAATATCTAAACTGAAATTAAGATAAATAAAGGAAGGGGTGTAGGTTGGGAGGGGTGTGAGAATGCTGAAGAGATGTCATTGATCAAGATGCACTGTATTCACAGACTGCTTTGGTGAATGGCAACTCTTTTGGACAACTGCTTGAAGATTTCAAATACAATAAACGAAAAGATTCTATTCTCTAGGCTACCACAAGGTGTCAGGGCTGAAAATAGGTAATGATCCAGCTCAATGGAGCCATTTCAACTGCAGTACTGCACAGACATTGGGCTAGAAGAGGGCTTGGAAGAGTGAACTGGTATTTGTTACATCCACAATCACCACAGAGCTGTTCTTCTTAAATATGGTCTTTAGTATTAGAGAAGCTGGTTCAAACAAAATTTTCTGGGGTTTATATAGAAATAGGGATTCGATTTTGATACTGACTGTGCATGTATAATCCCTTTTCTATCCTGATATGATCTTTCCTATTCAAGAAAGTTGTAATGTTCCAGTACTCCCTACTATCTGTCCATCAGACATATTTCATCAATTCCTGATCCCACAGATGCTAAAAATGTAGACAGTATCAAACAGTTGCAGTTAGAAGTTGAATTTTGAAGTAACAGTCCTTTGAAGCTCAGCTCCCCATGTGACTGTTCTAGTTGGATTTCCATACAGTGGCCACTTAAATAGCTATGATTTCAATTGATTTTAATTCTAGTAGGACCCTGGTAACATATAATGACCAGTGCTTCATTTCATCTGTATCTGAGATATCTTACCTACAAAAGCAATATGATCAGTGGAAAATAAATGGTCACAATTCAAAAGATGATGAACAAACAAAAATATAGGCAATTATACTTGTAAACATAGTAAACTCCCATCATCACAAGAGTTACTTGAAAAGACAAGAATCATTCCTAATGCCTCCAAGTCTACAGGTGTGGATGAGATTTATTCCTTTAGTCACTTCTATACAAAGGGGGAAAAAAAGGAAAACAATCAGCAATGGTTCTCGTTTGTTTGTTTTGGTTTTGGTCTCAGGAATGGAACCCAGAACTTCAGTTCCAGTCTAACAGAGAGTGATAGATGATTAAAATCTCCTTGCATGTACTGCAACATAGGGACTGTGATTGTCAGTCATCCTAATGTGCTGGAAGAAGCATCAATGTACTTGAACCACTGAGGGCATCCATGTGTGGTTGGGATTCTGTCCACAAGTCACAGTTCAGACCCACAGCCTTTATGTAATGGAAGACTTGGCTTCATCAGTTGACAGGTGATGAAAACGCCGGTGAATAGGCACTCATGTGAGGAAAGGGTTAGGCTCATTTAAATTATTAATTTTATAATGAAAAGGGTTTCCACCCCTCATTCTCAGATCAAATTCCCTTGAGACTAATTATAGAATTATAACACAATACAAGTAACATAGTCTAGCTCTTCTGGTTCCATATAAACATTCATGCCAAATAGAAATGAGAGTTTCTTCCATGAGGAGTTAGCAATGTCATTGACAATGCAGCAGCAGGTATGTGGAGAAGGGATGATGCAGGAAGGATCTGTGAGATTTGGTAAGAAGTAAATTGTCATGCCAATCATCAGTAGTGTTGGTGGTGTATTAATTCTTTCCTTTTCTGTTGCTCATGTTCAGAGAGAATATGTAGGAATGCAGAAGATTGAAGTTGAGGAATTAATTCGACCTTGTAACAAAATGTGGGCTTGTTTAAAATATGTAAGCAGGGTAATGTGCTAACTTCTGATGATGAATTGTTTCCTGGGAAGAATATTTAATATCCAGGAAAAGGTTACTTTTTCATGAGCAGCAGAATGATTTATTTAGTACAGGTGTTCACCTAAGTTAAACAGAAGGCTAAGGAGTTACCTGGTTTTGTTTGTTTGTTTTGTTTAGTTTTGAGACAGTGTCACTAATGTTTCATGGCCTGGCTTGAATTCATAATTCTACCCAGGCTTTCAAGTGATGGGATTACAGGTGTGAAGCACCATGTTCAGATTACCTTTTAAAAATATATAGTATTATCTCATTACTTTCACTGGAGAAACATTTTCTGGACACATACATTTATGAATGTGGTGTTTATTTCAAGGACAGAAAGGAGGTAATAAAAGAAGGAAGGAAGAGAAAAAGGAAAGAAAGAAAGGAGAACTTTGAAATGTTCATAATATCCATTGTGATAATACATGTATTACTTAATGTGTCAATTCATTAACATTATAAATTCAACAGCATTGGAACTAAAGGGAATTAATAGCTTAGGTAAGGTCATATATTCAAGGAAAGCAGAAATAAGGGTGAACAGGAACAACAACATAGTAAAGACCTTTAAATGTTGTAAAAAAGTGATTAGTAAAGCAGCACATATTTAATAATAAAGCACTAATCAAATTTAATGAACAAGTTAAAATAAATGAGGTCACATTAGAAAAATCAGAAAATTCTTTATTATTCTTGCCAGCTTCCTGCAGTTTAATCACTTTCTTGGGGCAAAGATAGAAAACATTTTTATTTTTAACAATTTGGTAGAATAATGTTTGTGTGTAATGTTTTTCATAAGGCAATCATGCAAGCATATTGCAAATGATGGCACACTTGAATTAAACTAATTCCAAATAATAAACTTCTGGACCCACAAGACAACAGACCTCAAGGAATTTGAGTCTGATTATGTTCCCCAAATTCATTTGAGAAAAAGTCCATTATTGTCTAATAGCTGTCAATAATATTCTCTTTATACACATGAGGACGATCCATTGTAGTTACATCATTAACTTGTTTCTCCTCCTTTTGTCCTCTTCTGTGGAATAATAAAGCAAGTGTATATTAAATGTTGGTGGGGAACTTGAATTACAAAGTATAGAGTGAATAGTTTTCATCTGAACCTCGTGGATGAGAGTTCTGTAAAATTACAAGTAAGTATTATGGGTTGAGTGAAAAAGATGCACTATTTTAGCAAAATCATCTTCTTTGATGCTTCTATGGTTTTTGTTTTTGGGTTTTGTTATGAAAGCATCCATATAAAATGAAGAGTATTTTAACTATTTTTTCTGACAAAATTTTATCTGTTTTTTGCTTTCCTGAAGGAAACATTTGATTGCTCTGAATATGGAAATGGATCTTGTGCAGAAAATAAGAGGTCACTGGGTATCCGGGCTGCCATGTATTCATTTATGGCAGGAGCCATATTCATCACGATATTTGGCAATCTCGCCATGATTGTTTCCATTTCCTACTTCAGGCAGCTTCACACACCAACCAACTTCCTCATCCTCTCCATGGCGGTCACCGACTTCCTCCTGGGATTCGCCATTATGCCCTACAGCATGATCAGATCGGTAGAGAACTGCTGGTATTTTGGGCTTACGTTTTGCAAGGTTCATTATAGCTTTGACCTCATGCTTAGCATAACATCCATCTTCCATCTTTGCTCAGTGGCTGTTGATAGGTTTTATGCTATCTGCTACCCCTTACGTTATTCTTCCAAGATGACAATCCCAGTCATTAAACGGTTGTTGTTTCTCTGCTGGTCGGTTCCTGGAGCCTTCGCCTTTGGCGTGGTCTTCTCCAAGGCCTACGCTGATGGCATCGACGGCTATGCTATCTTGGTTGCTTGTTCCAGTTCCTGCCCAGTCATGTTCAACAAGCTCTGGGGGACTACTTTGTTCATGGCAGGTTTTTTGACTCCTAGTTCTATAATGCTGGGGATTTATGGCAAAATTTTCGCTGTCTCCAGAAAACATGCCCGTGCAATCAGTAACTTGCCAGAGAATCAAAATAACCAAATGCAAAAAGACAAAAAAGCAGCGAAGACATTAGGAATAGTGATGGGTGTGTTCTTGTTATGTTGGTTTCCCTGTTTCTTCACCATTTTACTGGATCCTTTTTTGAACTTCTCTAGTCCTGTAGTCCTGTTTGATGCCTTGACGTGGTTTGGCTATTTTAATTCCACGTGTAATCCCCTAATTTATGGTTTCTTCTATCCCTGGTTTCATAGAGCCCTTAAATACATTTTGCGAGGTAAAATTTTCAGCTCACAATTTTATAATACAGATTTGTTCACTCAAAAATAAACTGAATAAACTTATTTTGTATGAGTGATTTGGAACAAAAGCACTAAACTTTAGCAGAATGAAATTGCTCTGCGTGTGTGTGTGTGTGTGTGTGTGTGTGTTTTGTGCCTGTGTGTGTGTGTGTGTGTGTGTGTGTGTGTGTTTGGCTGACCATAGATGCTCTTGATTTCTAAGAAGTTTCTCTTGAGACTCCAACATCCTTTATTTATCTATTTATCTAGCTATTTAATTAATCAATTAATTAATTTTATTGGTTGTGGGGCTTGAACTCAGGGCCTGGGTGATGTCCCTGAGCTTTTTTGCTCAAGACTAGCATTCTACCTTTTTGGGCCACAATGCCATTTCCTCCAATCCTTAATCCTTCATATATCTACTACTTCTAAGTAGAGCAAAAGGAGAATTAGACTAGTTAATAGAAAATGGGAAAGTCAGGAATGTAAAGAAAAGGATATTCAAAAATGTGCTGTTCGGGCTGGGATGTAGCTCAGTGGCAAAGCACTTGCCTAGCAAGTGCAACGTCCTGGGTTCGATCCCCAGTACCAAAAAAAGAAAAGACAAAAAAAAAATGTGCTGTTCAAAAAGGATGAGAATGCAGGCTGAGCTTGAGGAACGCTCCTTCCTGCCCACCACACACACCTAGGGACGTTTTCATCTGCTTGTTCTTCCTCAGCTTCTGATGAATTTGAATTTGAAAGAACAGTGAGGGGCTGGGAAGGTGGCTCAGTGGTAGAGTGCTTGCCTTGCATGCATGAGGCCCTGGGTTCAATTCCTCAGCACCACAGCCGGAAGTGGGGCTGAGGCTCAAGTGATAGAGCGCAAGTCTACAGCTGAAGAGCTGAGGGACAGCACCCAGGCCCAGAGTTCAGGCCCCACAACCGACAAAAAAAAAAAAAAGAACAGTGAAAAGTTATTGGGATGTAAATATAAAAACAATAATTTCAAAACTCCATCTTCTGACAGGAAGTATTAATTTATTAGCTGATTCGGTAGATTTTGTTGTGAAACATTTTAAAAAATGAGAACTAGCAGGGCACTGGTGGCTCATGCATGTAATCCTAGCTACTCGGAAGGCTGAGATCTGAGGATCACAGTTTGAACCCAGGCCAGGCAGAAAACTCTGCGAGATTCTTATCTCCAATAAACTACTCAAAAAAAAAAAGCTGGAAGTGGCACTGTGGTAGAACAAAAGAAGCTCAGGGACAGCGCGTAGGCCCAGAATTCAAGCCCCAGGTGCAGCAAAATAAAGAATGAAAGAACTGGAAAACGATGTAACCAATACAGCATTCCATTCAATATTTCATTAATGTACATATATATATATATATATTTAAAATTTTACTCTGATTATAAAGATGGCTTCCCTTTTCATAAGTCAGACCATGAGTACATTTCTATTGGGACAATGTCACCCCTTCCTTCATTCTCGCTCTCAGTTTTTTCTTCCTGTCCCTACCCACAAGCTGTATAGTCGATTTTCATCATGGTTTCTACTGAGTACCACTGCTGCATTTGTTCACCCTATGTCCTTCTATTTTTATACTCTCCTTACCCTCCAGGATACATAAAATGAATAAACAAAACAACAACAAAAAGAAAAAGGAAAAAAAGCCTTTTTGTTTCCATATCCTGGAGTTCATTTTGATGAACATTATTTTATATGATCAGAGGCAGATAGACATTGCACCTACGTGTTCCTCCCTAAAAGTGTTCTTCTTTGGTCTCACAGCATGTGCATGCCTTGAGTCCTGTTTAGGGTGTCATGTATTTTAGATCTAGTTTCTGTATATGAGAGAAAACATGTACCATTTGTCTCTGAGTTCATTAATGTTTTATCTTAATCCCAGCAGTGGGATTTCCCATATTACAGGCAATGGAATTCTCTTTGATGGTCCTTTTCCTTTCTTAGGCCCATGCACATTTTGACATTTGATATGATGACATTTAATCAATAACTGGATAACATAACTACCCAGAAAAGTTGTGGTTTGGGTCCATCATAGATAGCAGTATCTATACCTATATATTTGCATCATAGTTAATGAGAAAAAAAGCAAAGATGAAAACTAATATTGACTGTGTTTGGGAGATGTTCTTCTGGGTACCATCCACTTTCCATTTGTTATTAGACTAACATAAAATTTATGTTAACACTCACTAGTGCACGGTGGACTTGCATTGTCATATGCTGGCAAATGTTTCACACTGGCAAATGTTTCGCACTGACTTGTAAAATTGGATGATATCTGTGTTGTCAAATGTAGCTTGAGAAAATAAAATGAAATATTTTGGTGGGAGATTGCCTGTTGTCATTTGTGGGAAAGGAGTTTGTGACTGTCCTCTTTACAGAGTGATAATGTTTGTGAAATTAATTTTGTTTTTGTTGGAGCCTACAGAAAAAAATAAAAATTTGGCCTTGTATAGGCTGTAAATATCATTTTCAAATGATACTGTTATCTTTATATAGTTGTACAAGTGGGTTTCAATTCAATATGTCTGCTGATAAATACAATGCTTCTTGAACAATGTCACCCCTTTCCATAATTTTCTCCATCTTTCCCAACCCTAACACGCTCTCAAATAGTTATAATACTTCTTAAACAATGTTACTCCTTCTATCATTCTCTCCCCCATCTCTCCTAACCCCACCTATCCTCTCAAGTTATCTGGTTCTATTTTCACTTTTGTACATTTAACATTATGACTGTATTTCACTCATCCATCCTCTCTTCATCTATTATTTTGTTTTTGTTTTTTTTTATTAGTTGAGTCTATAGTTTCCTATTAAGGAAACTCTGTAGTTTAGGGATAAATAAGCCTCTGATTAAATTAAATCTATGCCACCTAGCTTATAATGATCTTCTTTCTTTCTTTCTTTCTTTCCTTCCTTCCTTCTTTCCTGTGGTCTATTTATATTTTAAATATAAATTTTATTTTACTCTACTTTTTACATTGCAGGAGATGGGACATGCTGAACAAATGCTCCTCTTACACTTTGTGTTGTTCCCTCCCTCTCTCCATCTCTTCCTTCCTCCCTTTCTCCCTTCCTCTCGATCCTTTTTTTTTTCTTTTTTCTTTTGTAGGTGGTGGGGCTTGAATTCTGGGCTTGGGTGTGTCCCTCAGCTCTTCAGCTCAAGGTGAAAGCTTTACCTTTTGAGCCACAATGCTACTTCCGGTTTTCTAGTGGTTTATTGGAGATAAGAGTGTCATGGACTTTCTCACCTGGGCTGGTTTTGAACTGTGATCCTCAGATCTCAGCCTCCTGAGGAGCTAGGATTACAGGTGTGAGCCACCAGCGCCCGGCTTGATCCCTTTTCTAAAACTAAGGGTTTTAGTCATGCTAGTACATCTCACTGAAGTAAAAATAAATATTTCTCTTTCATTCCATAATCTTTTCATTCAAAGTACAAACAGAAACTTTTTATTATTCAGATAACTATTTCTCCCTTGACTATCAGTCAACATTTAATTTAGCCTATACATGGCTGCATTTTTAATACATGAAAGTTTCAGAACCTTATCTTCTCAGAATGAAACAAAAATGACCATGAAATTGGTTATGAAATAATTGTCCTTCATTTGGAAAAAAACCAACTTAAAACATTCTGAGAGTTAATGTCCCTGGGACACAAAAATGCACAGGACATTTCACCCCTCCCTCAGGAAAGAAAGTCCAAGCACAATTCCAATGGGGCTCTGCAACTAGTACCTCTTGAACTTCTGGATCTGAGGCTTTCACTGTAGATCTCTTGAGAGCAGATGGAAACCTATATGATCAGATATCTTTGGCATTGAACTTCCCACAATTTCCTGTGTCACATCAACCAAGCCACCAGAAGAGGCTCAACGATTTACAACTAATTTTCCAGGAAATGAAAGGTACTGGATTAATAAAAGGAGTTTAAAATGTACTGTTCTTTCATGATTATGCTTGATTTATTCTCATCAAAATAATTAAACATTTATAGAGTATCAGAAGGTATTACAAATAGGTTGCAATAGAACATAGAGTTTTTATTCTTAACTAGAAAATAATTATGATATCATGAAAGGTCTTAATTTTCTAGCAAAATTTTGTGATAAGACATATAAATTTCTGGGTAGGAGCATGTAAAATATTTTTGCAAAATCCAAAGACTACACAAGACATCATTAGTAAGTGTCAGGCACTCACTTATTTTAGTAATGCTCACTTATTTCAGTAATGCTGAGATTTTTCATTTCAAAGTCTTTCCCAGTATGGTTTCTGATGTCACTCGTTTTTTCTTAGAAAAAAGCATGTTGTCTTATTTTCCCTGTAAATCTCTTGAGAAAGGAGAAAACAAACATCCCATTGATCAGTAGCTGACAATATGTCTAGTGCATGGGCTGTGCTTTGAGTAGCAAGGGTTATAAACAGCTGATACCATAGACTTTCATGCTGATCAAATGGATCCAAAATCACCAGTGCTATTATCAGAGAAGGAGAGGTGAGAGATAGGTTCACTGGAACTGAGCCCAAAGATTTGGATTTTATTTAATGCTGGGGAATGGAGATTAAAGGCAGAAGAGGCTATATCAAGGTTCTACATGCAACTAGATGCTGAAATATTCACATGGTATCCATGTCAGGTCATGCACAGACCAAGATGTGCTTTCCCAAATACTCCTGTTAATCCACACTAAGAAAAGGCAAAGAGAAGATACAGTTTATCACTTCCTCTGGGTCCCTTCCCATCTCTTACACATTCTGTGATACTAACTTTCAGTAGAGACCTTCTGGTTTCCAAATAAAGCTATGGTTTATAGCTAATGAAAGATGCTTAAAAAATTCTTATTGCTTCTCTGTACCTGCTCCCTGAAATAGAAATTACTTTTCCTGTTACTGTGCATGTATTTCCTGTCCCTAAAAATTTCTTTCTTTTCCTAGTTGTTTTTCAGAAGAAAATATTCTTTTAAGGTATCATCTCTTGCCACTTTATAAGGCTTATCCTGAGCTGTGAGTTGTTTTGGATTGTAATTCATCATCTATAAGCTACATACTACTTTATATTTGTTGCTATTACAAAATACAATTTACCTCATATAGTTTATGAGGAAATTGATAGAATTTTCCCCCCATTCATCTTAGTTTTCAGTGCTCTGTTGAATATACTCTACTTATTAACCCTGACATGCTTACCAAGCTACTACAAACTTTAAATATTTCTTATGGTTTTTGTTAGATATTAGAGAACTAAGCAGAAACCAAAGTATGTCAAAGAACTTAATATCAGCTTTCACTTATGCTTTCTATTAAACTTCATATGCTCATTAGTCTATTGTGATGAAATACTAGTCCAAATTATGAACTATTGTTATTTATTTTAGCTACTTCAATAATAGAAATTAATACAAATCTCTGTATGAAATGTGCTTTCAGACTAAGAAGGTTAGAGGTTCTTTAAAAATAGAAATTAAATAGGAGAGGTTATAATTTAAGATCATTTTTAATAGGTTCTATAAAAATTGACATTGTTTTCTGACCTGTGGCAATGGGTGTAATGAGTCCTATTTTAAGACCCTGAAAATTAGATTTTGTAGCTAGAGCACATTGGGAGACCACCTCTGTTTCCTACCAAAATGAATTTGTCCAGACAATCGAAGATTCCCTTTAATAAGCTCCATGATGTAAGCTCACATTGCATATCTGGCTTTTTTTTTAAAAAACACACGTGGCTGCAGATGTGCCAATCTTATCATTCAGGGCTAAAAACTAAAAGTTAAGGGGAAACATAGAAAAAAAATTGTTATTATTTGGATTTTTTAAGTTACAAAACATGGCAGTTTCATAGAGGTTATACAGCTCAAATCATAGATTAAATGGAAGACATTTTTAACCAAGCAAAATTAAGGGACGTGACGTAATTCTTACGAAGTGAGTCCTTGTATTTCATGGTGGTGGAGGTAAGAACAATGCAAAACCCTAAAATATTCACACAGGCCACTTCCAAATGAACCAACAGTTTATAAAACAAAACAAAACAAAACAGTCTATCTGCAAATCAGTCATTCTGAGCTCAGAATATAGTTCATTAAAGCCTTGGACTTCATAGAGTGCTATGCTTTTCAGAAACAATCTCTAATTAGCAAATTAAATGTGTGAGCTGTATCACTCCTAAAATCTACAGAAGTAAACAGGCCCAGAGTCAGTGAGAGATTTGCCCAACATTATATGACTTATATGTGGGGGAGCCAATAAACAAACAACTCTAATTTCAAAGCTATAATAGCAAGGAGAGGGAATTGAATTTGTACATATAATAAGTCATTTTAAACCTTTCATTATAGACATTTCAAACTGGTCTTCTTGAGTTTCATGCCCGAATTTAAATAGTAAGTACACTTAATAGAAAATGTGTGATCTCCTATCCAACCACCTTATAGTAGAAACATCTTAATCCTGAAGAAATGGGATGTTAACTTGCACATAATTCTCATGCGAGTTTCTTTCAATATTATTATAGCCTTGACCGTTAAACTCACATAGACAAAGCTGGGATTAACTTAATGGCAAATTCAACTACATAATCATATGCTTTCATCCCAAATATATTTTCAGCCTTAGAGACAGTACATGTTTAATTTTCAACTTGCAGTCTCCAACACAGTATTCTCTTTCAGTTTTGTGAGGGCTTTTCTTTCATTACACACTAAGTACCTAGTGTCTCCTACATATTAACCTAGGGGCTGAGAATTCAAGAGTGAACGGTTCTAGTCACTTGTGGCAATGACTAGAGAGTCATGTGGAACAGTCACCTTGCCAACAGCTACCTCCTTACCTAAGACTTTCCAAAGCAAAGCCCTCTTCTGACCAGAGACTCAGACATGTCTCTGACATATTATAGCAAGATCCTTCAACCCTGATCCTCATCACCCACCCCAAGTCAGATAAGAATGACGGAATCAAAAGGAATGAAAGGAGCTTCTTAACACCATGAGGCCAATGAAGGCATATTTTTGTTTATTTTTTTAATTGAGGTTCTAAAAGGAAGCCTAAATTAAATTTACCTAAATAGATGAACTCGATGCATGCACATTAAAGCTGAACCTCTGGTTTGGGAGAATCCAGCACAGATTGACAGTATCCCTATGTCCAGTCTTCTCAAGATTGAGCCTACTTTTCTGTAGCCCACTAAGCCAACATGATGCTTGTGGTAGACACAGTATCAAGCCTTCCCAAAGCCTACAGGTGAGTGGGTTTTTTTTTCCTTCAGGATATTTACCTTGGGGTCAAGGTAAATAGGGTACAATAACTTACTGAAAGTTTAAATGATTACCAAATTGACTATCCTCTTTCAGTCTCTGGTAATTGAGGGGAGATCTCAGTGATGGGACTTGAGAGTATGTCAAATGCAATCACTTAGGGATAAAACATGTCACAAGGCTTTCTGCCAGTCAGAACCTCAGGTAAATCATAATGCTCATACAAGAGAGTAGAAATGCTGTGGCTTATACCTGTAATTCCAGCCATTTTGGCGGCAAAGATTGGGTGGATTGTGGTTCATGGGCAGTTTAGGAAATAAAGTTAGGAAGATTCCATCTCAACAGAAGAGCCAGCTCAGCTCAGCTGCACAGGAAGCCATAGAGACGTTGGCCCTGGGAAAAAAATTGGGAACACCCTCTGAAAACTAACTGAATTTGAGAAGGACTAGGGGAATGGCTTAAGTGGTAATGTGCTTCCCTAGCAACCGTGAAGCTGTAAATTCAAACCTCAGTACTGACAAAAAGCAAGAAAGAGAATGAGAAGGAGAGGATAGAGGAGAGAAAGAGATTGGAAAATAGAAACAATCATGCATCGACCCAGGGGCATAGTTAAGCTTTTAGGTTTATAATATGATGTAGGTTTTCTAGTATTGAATGTCCATCACATTTATTAACCCTGTTGAAAGTATGATATATTTTAACAACTATATACAATTTCCAGTTGCTAAAAAAATGTCTGAAAACTTTTCACCTATTTTTGAAACAAGAACACATGCCCAAAACATTTGTGACATTGACTTTGTATTTGAGATAAAAGAGATGTTTTCTTATCATTGAATTTCTAGGAAAGTGCGCAGGATGAAAGTCACCCCAAAACTGTAGAAAACCCCCATTACAGAACTAGAGCACTCAACAGATAAGCTCAATTTGAATGAATGCATGGTTGAGCATAGAAGACTAAAATAGAGCAACACAGGAATGAACAAGCAGTTGGAAAAAAGTTCATTTTTCTAAGGGCAGTAACTGAGAAAGCAAATCCAGAAGATAAATATTTAAATAAATTACAATCAGTGTGAGTCACCAACAGATGACTTTGAACTCTATTGTACTATTAGGAGCAGACATTGACTGAAATCACCTTAAGAAGGAAACATCGGCTTGCTCTTCCTGGGAAGGAGCTGGAGGTGCTAAAAGCTCCATGGATCTGCCTTATATTCCTGAAGACCTATCCAGCTGCCCCCAATTTGGAAATAAATCCTGTCCTCCCACCAATCGCTCTTTCCACGTCCGAGTGATCATGTACTTGCTGATGTCCGGAGCCATGGTTATCACCATCTTTGGAAACCTGGTTATCATGATTTCCATTTCACACTTCAAACAACTCCACTCTCCCACCAACTTCCTGATTCTGTCCATGGCGACCACGGACTTCCTGCTGGGTTTTGTCATTATGCCCTACAGCATGGTGCGATCTGTGGAGAGCTGCTGGTACTTTGGGGATGGCTTTTGTAAATTCCATGCAAGCTTTGACATGATGCTAAGCCTCACTTCCATTTTCCACCTGTGCTCCATTGCGGTCGATCGTTTTTATGCTGTGTGTTACCCCTTACACTACACCACCACCATGACGGCCTCCACCATCAAGCGGCTGCTGGTGTTCTGCTGGTCTGCCCCAGCTCTGTTTTCTTTTGGTTTGGTTCTGTCGGAGGCCAACGTGTCTGGGATGCGGGGCTATGAGATTCTTGTGGCTTGCTTCCATTTCTGTGCGCTCACTTTCAACAAATTTTGGGGAACCATCTTGTTCACCACCTGTTTCTTTACTCCTGGCTCAATCATGGTTGGCATTTATGGCAGAATTTTTATTGTTTCCAAACGCCATGCACGAGCCATCAGTAATATACCTGAAAACGTGCAAGGGGGAGCGAGAAAAAGCTTATCTAAGAAAAAAGACAGAAAGGCAGCGAAGACCCTGGGCATAGTCATGGGGGTGTTTCTAGCTTGCTGGTTGCCTTGTTTTCTTGCAGTTTTGATTGACCCATATTTAGATTACTCCACTCCTATAATAGTACTTGATCTTTTGGTATGGCTCGGGTACTTCAATTCTACGTGCAACCCCCTCATCCATGGCTTTTTTTATCCATGGTTTCGAAAGGCTCTAAAATACATAGTGTCAGGAAAAATATTTAGCTCCCATTCAGAAACTTCAAATCTGTTTCCTGAAACACATTAATGAGAAACCCTTACAAAAACAAACAGCTTATTGAAAATGAAAACGATACCCCTACTATTTTACCCTGCAACCAGTACTCTATATCCCACAGACTGCTATAAATGTTAGTTTATGCAATTTTAGTCACCTCAGGTCTCTAACCTTCAAACAGTGACTTTCAACATCTTTGGAGGGGGCGGGGAAATCAATACATCCAGCATTTAATTGCTAATTCTGCACCCAATGAACATTTATCTGATTGGAGAGTGAGACACTATCTCAAAATCAATAAAATCAATGAAAATTAAGAGCTGCTCAGGGCTTCCGATGGCATTTTGCCATTGAGAGGCACTTGTAAAGAACCAAAGGTAGAAAGAAGGTCAATGAAATCAAATTTTCCACCCAGGCAACCTTTCTACCCTCCTGTTCCACAGCTGGCTGCGTTCCTCTGAAAACGGCCACCCGAATGTGAGCAGCTATCATCTCAAAATTCCTTTCACTGTTTTCCCCCTCTACTCTGGCCTAGCTAGTACCTGGTACCTTGCACCTAATATCTGGCATTCATCACTACCCCCAGGTCCTTAGCTGTTTCTGGCTGTTGTCTTTCTACCAGCTGCCCACACGCACCTTCATAAATAGTCTTATTATTAATCTCTCTTCAGTCATCCAGTGAACGCTACCATCTGTTTCCTGTTTTACATCTAACTCACGTAGCCTTTCCTTACTCCAAGTTTTGAAATTGCTTCCCCAGATGTCCAGCTCTGTACGAGGCTGAGTTTACCTCTCTGCGCCTTTCCACATTTACTGCCTCCTCTGGGCTCCCTTCCTTGGAAGAAATCCCTGACCTGCCATTTGTCTGGAATAGGGCTATTCATCCTTCCTCCATTTGGCACATTTCTTTCCATTTTTAGGATAAGTTTGTTTTGAAACTTTTGACATTCCCCATGTGTGTACAAAATATTTTTCAAGAAAATTTTGGATGTAATAAGTAGTATTTTATTAATTAAATATTATGGAGGGGTTGGGAAGATGGCTCAGTGGTAGAGTGCTTGCCTTGCATGCATGAGGTCCTGGGTTCAATTCCTCAGCACCATGTAAGCAGAAAAAGCCGATGAAGCACTGTGGCTCAAGTGGTAGAGTGCTAGCCTTGAGCTGAAGAGCTGAGGGACAGCTCCCAGGCCCAGAGTTCAGGCCCCACAACTGACCAAAAAAAAAAAAAAAAGTGGACCTTGCTCATCCTTACAATGTTATTTGACTTTTATTATTTTATAACTTACAAATGTTGTTTAGCTTAGAACTTACTCTATTTGTGAATTTAGTAACTTATGACTTTTAGCTGCCAGTTATACCCTAATTTATTTTTTCATATTGTATCTGCACTTTTCAAATTATGAAAATTTGATTTTCTTTTGATCATTTTTCAGATTACTATAACTTTCTCCATCCTTAAATAACCTGTCCATGACTTATTTGAAATATGATGAATTTTAAAAATATTGAAAATTATAATGCAATTTACTATCATAAGGTGTTAAATTTACAGCTTAACAAACTTTTGTGCCTTTCAACTTAAAAGTCACACAAAATTATGATGACAGTGATGATGATGATGATGATGGTGGTGGTGGTAGTGGTGGTGGTGATGGTGGTGTGTGTGTGTGTATGTTTGTATGCTAGTACTGTGAATCCTGAGTCTGTGTTCTCTGTTTTTGCTCAAGGCCTGTGCCCTACCATTTCAGCCACACCTCCACTTACGGCTTTTTTTTTTTTTTTACTGGTTAATTGTAGATAAAAATCTAAATCTAAAACTTCCACTTCTGCCAAGCAACAATGTGCCTCTTCCCTGTTCACACTTGTACTTTTGTACTTTCTGTGCTGTCTAATGGAGACATCATTGAGGGGATAAGTAGATTGGTGAGTCTTTTCTCTGTCTTTCCCAGTACTATTATAATTGATCTGCAAGAAAGATCTGTTTAAATTGTTACATTGTAAGAAAAAATGACCAATCCCACTTTTGGGCATTCACCCATATGTTTACAAACAAGACCACACTAAAGCTACCAGCACGACTATGTTTATTGCAGCCTTATTTTACCATAGCTAAGATATGGAACCAACCCAGATGCCCCTCAGTAGATGAATGGATCAAGAAAATGTGGTAGATATACACAATGAAATTCTATGCCTCCATCAGAAAGAATGACATTGCCCCATTTGTTAGGAAATGGAAAGACTTGGAAAAATTCTATTAAGTGAAGTAAGCCAGGCCCAAAGAAACATAGGTCCTATGGTTTCCCTTATTTGCAATAACTAGTATATGTCTGAGTGAAGCAGAAAAGGTCAGATAAGTTGATGTTAGGGAAATGAACCCTAAGATTTGTATTCAAATGTTTTTTTTTTCTTTCAGGTGATTGTTTCTAACACATTTATAAGATTATTTCTTTGTTGCTTTGTATGACTCTCCCCCACAGTATAACCCCTGCTTTAACTGTATTTGATGTTGTTATAATTTGTGGAGGGGAAGGGCAAAAACAAATCGTTTAACTCGGGATACAGGTGGACCCATTGCAACAATGAGACAAACAAGTCCTTATGTCGAAAAAGAACTTTACAACTTTGGTGGGGTTGGGGGGAGGAGGGCTGGGTGGGGGGGGCGGGGGTGGGAGAATGGGATGGGAAGGGGAAACAAAGGAGGAGACTACAATGCTTGATAAGAAATGTACTCATTATCTTGCCCATGTAATTGTAACCCCTCTGTACAGTATTTTCACAATAACAAAAAAAGAAATAATGGAGGTGGGAGGGAGGGAAGGGATGGTAGGGGAAAAACAAAAGGGGAGGCAACAATGCTCAATAGGAAGTGTACTCATTACCTTGTTCATGTAACTATAACCCCTCTGTACAGTATTTTTATAATAAAAATGTACAAAAAAGAAGCCACTCTTTTGAAAAAAGAATTAATACAAAAATAACAATACTTGCTATTTTAGAGACCTAGGAGCTAAAGAGAACTGATGGAAGTTGTCAATTTCCATCAATTTTGTTTAGGGGAAAAGCATATACATACCTAGGCATATACATACTGGGTGCGGGTTCTACCACTGAGCCACAGCCCCAACCACTCATCTGCTTTTCCTTTTTTTTAAGAGACAAGGTGTTGGTACATTGCTGGAACATGTCTCTAACTACTGAGCTCAAGTAAAAATACTGCCTCACTCTCCTGAGTGCTGGGACACATATGCCCAGATTCTTGTGTATTTTGAGACATTTTTTAAATTTGTGTTTGGGCCAAGTCTTTCATTTGGAAAGATGATAAAGAACTACAGTGTGGGGGAGTATTCCTTCTTTGTACAGGGCTTAAAGAACTCACGGGTTGAAAATATTAACTAGCCTATGCTAATAAGTAGAGTGAACATTTGTTGGGTTTGGACTATGTTTTCTCCTTCCCTTCCCCTCCCTCCACTTCTCCTTTCTATCCTTCTCCTTTCCTTCTGTTTTTCCTTTTTCTCCACTTCTGGCCTGTGTGAGGTTAGTCATGCTGTCTCTCAGAGGTCGTAGCAGTGAGAGCACCGAGCTGATTTCCTCTCTGGAGTCAGTTCTCTGGTGACCTTCTGTGTCTCATGTTGGCACTACACCAAATGGCGTGGAAAGACAAACCTGTCTAGAGCAAGACCTGGGGCAGCAGCCTCAAGAGGCTTTACTTCGTGCTTAAATGTGCACTGCCAAGCCTGTTCAGAGTCCCTTCCAGGAACGTGATCTGAGTGTCTAGAAGGAGATGCTGGTGGAGCTGGAGACCAGCGATCACAATGTTCACTTGTCCGGTTAGAGCCCTGGCACACCAGGTAAGTTAACTCTAAATTGCCTAATTGGGAAAACAAATTCCCACAAACCACAGGAGACTATCTCAGGAAAGGAAAAAAATATTGTCATTTTGGGGGCTAGAATTTTTGCACATAGAATAAAACAACACTAGAATATGGTCTATAATAAGAAATACAGATTTTTTAAAAAAAATTACTGAGTTTGTAAAAAGACAATGACTGGAAGACCTGTAACAGATAGAGCTCTCCTACAGATAATTCATAAATAATCTTCCATACCTAATAAACTACTGTATGGGTAAGACACATCAAAGCAAGATAAAACATCATTATTTTTGCACAATTAGTCCCCAAGTAGAGTATTCAGTTATGTGACCAATAAGCAAAGAAAAATTATGCCTGATAAAGTAGGTGTGATGTGTCTTCTGCTTTCTATGTATGCATCCATGAATTATTATTTGTTATCTTTTTATAAATGAATTATTGAGTAGTTGAATGTTCTGATTTTGTTTGAGGAAAATGCATATGCACTAATATCTTTTAATACTTAACACAGAAGAAAATTATTCTGTTACTCCTTTGTTGTTTATTTTCCTTTGGAATTCCGAGGATATTTTGCATCATTAAAATGCCCATTCTGGGTGATCCCAGAGTTCTCGTGTCTGCTTCTCACTTAAGGAGGCAAATATCCACTGTAGAAGTCATTAATAATTTCCTGTATTTTCCTAGGTGACTGCCCAATACTGAAATTCATGTAGTCCTTTTCTGCTGATGATTGGGGAAATGCTATTCATAAAGAGGGAGAAAGGCAAAACTGTTCCTTGATGAAAGTGAAATGCCGTAATACAAGATTCCACCATTTTATTTATAATTTTATTTTATTCAACTAATTACAGCACAACTCTTTTCTGTAGACAGTTCTCAAAGAAAAGGGATCTCTATCCTGCCAACTATTAAAATAGCAAAACCACAACTCCACTTACCGTCTTAACAATTCCCTTTAACAAAGTAGCAGGCCAGCAGTTAGCCTTTCATTTGGTTACTTGTTTGTATAAGTTTTGACCAAAGGCTTAAGATGAGGATTTGAAGTCCTATCTTTGATGTTGTGTTAACTATTCTTCCATGTAATAATTTAAAAATAAATATGTATGTTTTACTGTTATCTTGCCTTACTTCTTTGCTGTTTAAATATTTTCTTAA